AAACCAAATTTCCAAAGTCCTTCCAGGTCTGTCACAACAATACCCCACTCCTGGTACCAGTTTCTGTCCTAGTTAGGGTTTCTATTTCTGTGATGAAAACCCTGACCAAAGCAATTTGGGGAGGAAAGGGTTTACACTTCCACATCACTGTTCATCAGTGAAAGAAGTCAGGATAGGAACTCAAACAGAATGGGAATCTGGGGGCAGGAGCTGATGCAGAGGCCATGGAGGGGCGCTGCATACTGACTTGCTCAGTGGGTTGCTCAGTCTGATTTCCTATAAAATTCAAGACCGCTATTACAGGAATGGCACCACCCACAATGGGTTGGGCTCTCCCCCATCAATCCCTAATTGAAAAAATGCCTTACAGCTGGATCTTACGGAGGCATCTTCTCAATTGAAGTTCCCTCCTTTCAGATGGCTCTAGCATGTATCAAGTTGACAGAGGGCAAAGGACAAAGGAGTTCAAAGCATCTGACAAAAAAGGGCCGACTGGTAGAGAACCTAACTGCCCTGCACTGGGGTAACAAGGAAGGTACCTGAGAGCAAGGCTTCATCCACCAACATAGAAGACTCCGAGCTGTTTAAAGACAAACACGTTTGAGTGGAGAGAGTTTGTGCTATAGACTCCATGGAAGGGGTCCCCTTCCCACAAAACAAATGCCTGGGAAAGTTTTCTCACAGATTCAACCACCACGACAGAGAGGCCACTTTAGCTGCACTTCAAGGGTTTGAGCCATAGCTCAAGCTGGTGCAGAGCTTGGCAGAATTGCCCAAGTGGTACTGGTTTTACAGGCATGAAAAGCAGAAGAGCGAGGGGGTGGTTCATAGGGGCCTTGCACCAAGATTCCAGAAAGCAGCTGGAGCCAGGAAATATGTGGCAGGATTGGAGCCCCTGCAAGGAAGCTCCCAGAGGACATTGTGGGAACCTGTGAAGGTGAAACCTAAGCTGCAATAGAGACCCCCGGGGTACTGGAGATGCTGGGACCATGAGTAATCTACAACCATGGAATGGAGCCAATCCAAGAGAGATGCAGTGTGTTTTGCAAGCATCAAAGCTAGAGGGACAGGGATGCCCAAGCCCTTTGGATGCCCGATGAGTCTCAGATGCCTGGCACGGAGCTGCAGGATTTGGTGTTTGTCGTGTTGGGTTTTAGTCTTGCTGTGCCCACCTTCTTCCTGGCTGGGATGGAGAAGTTCATCTTGTACATTGTACATTAGAAATCTGTGATTTGACTTGATAGACTCTCACAATGTTGGGATTGCGTTGACAGTGTTTGTACTGTTAGAGACCAAGGACGCCTTCAATATTAGGATGAATGCACTTCACATGCGAGATGAACAGAAGACTTTGGGGAAGAGGGTGGAATATTACTTAAACAAAATTTTATTTGGGCATCAAATTGACAAAGGATGGGATTATGGTAGTTAATCTCGGTTGTAGACTTGGTGGGATGTGGACTCATCATGGAAACACTCCTCTGGTTATGACTATAAAGGTGTATCCAGAAACCCAACTGAAGAAGTAGAGCCCACCCTGGATGTGGCACCATCCCCTGGGCTGTACGAACAGAACTCAGGGCGAGCACCAGCATCCACCATTTTCTGGATACAATGTAACCAGCTGCCTCTGACTCCCATGGCTGTGACTCTCCCTTGTGTCTCCTAACTGGACACGATGTGACCAGCTGCCTCCCACTCCCATCGCTGTAATTTCACCACCATGATGGATTATACCCTGGGACTGTGAGTCAGAATAAAGACTTCCTCTCTGTCGTCGGTTTTGTCAGGTAATTTGTCACAACAAGGAGAAAGATAATTAATACACTTTCCTCTCAGAAAGGCAGATGTGGGTGACAAGGGGGGTGGCCCAAGCAGGACATACAGCAAATGCAAAAACTCAGACATGGCAAAGCCGTGTGGGTACAGGGTGCCAGGGAAGCGGGAGACTGCAACCAGTGGACAGAGAGAACCAGCCAGAAGGACTCCCAGGGACCACCTGGGCCACTGTCCCAACACATGGCTGGGAAGTGAAGGAGGGAAGCAGCTAAGTCAGGGCCCTGCAGTGTACATAATGAGGGGGTAGTTACAGGGGACCAGGATGCCATGGAAGGGACACCAAAGATCCACCTGCAGGCAAGCCAGTGACCCTCCCTCCTGATGCCCTGTCTGGGATGTGAGCTGGAGTCAGGTGGAGGAGGCCATCTCCCAGCCACAGTGCCCTCTGAATTAACCTTTAGACTCACAGATGAATGGCACCATCCACCTGCCACCTAATGTCCCCATGCAGGTGGCAGAAAAGTGAGTGTGGCCCAGAGGAGACAAGGGCTCCATTAGTGCTGACTGGTGTCTCAGAGACAAGACACATGGGACCTTGCTGCCCACTCAATGAAATATGTGTAACACTGTTCAAGGTGGTGGGGGCAGGGCCCCATGGATGTCACATCTTTGAGTCCCCTCTCTACCCGGAGAGGCCAGGAATCACTATCTGTGTTACAGAGGGAGATGGGATCTGTCTCAACCGCCTAGCCAGAGAGGGATGCTCTGGAATGTCAGTCATTCGAGACAAAAACCAAAGACAATCAAGATCACATGCCTGCCTGGTACCAACCCCCACCCAGGGCACTTGTCAATTTGTGTTTCTCATCTTGGATGCCTCCCCTACCTGATCTCCAACCCCACTCAGGAACTAACTGTGCATTCTCTGTCCCCTCCTACATTCAGGAACTCTGTCCTGCTACTGTCCACACAGGACTACCCGGGAATCTACAATGCTCAGAGGCAGGAGAGCTAGAGATTAGAGCTGACATCATCCTGAGAGGTCAATGAAGGAATTTTCTCTTGGTTGTACCAAGTTATTTGAATTGGGATAGGAAATGCATGAAAGTCACACTTAAGCGACCAACTCCATGCACTTGTAATCATCTGTCACTAATGTGAAGGTACACATTAGTCTAGCACCCAGAGTTTCCCACAGTCTGCCTATCACAGGTGGCATACCCCAGCTGTGTGTGCAGGTATACATGCATGTGTGTGTGTGTGTGTGTGTGTGTGTGTGTGTGTGTGTCCCAACTGTGTGTGTAGGTGCACATACACATGTGTGTGCATCCAATATAAAGCATTCAGGGCAATCTTGACTGTATTTCCTGAAATGTTATCTACCTTGTTTGGGGCTTTTAATTTACATACATGCATGTGTGCCTACTCGTCTGTATGTGCATGCAGGTGCCCTCCGAGGACAGAAGAGGGCATCAGATCCCCTCTCTGCAACTTGAGTTACAGGTTGTTCTGAACTTTTGTATGGGTGCTGAACACTGAACCCAGGTGTAACACAAATAAATAAAAAGCCCAGAGACAGATATCAGGATTCAAGCTGAATATCAGAAAAGCAAAGCAGCTGGCTACTCGCTCTTACCCCTAGCTCAGGCTGAAAGGGCTGATTCACGCACAAGCTCTTCACCAAGTCTCAAACCGTTTCCTTTCCTTCGTGTGGCTGGAGACTGAATACCTCTACTGAGACGTTATATACTGTCTTATATACTTCCCTGATATTGGGATTAAAGGTGTGAGCTATAATTCTCTTTTAGACTGACTCACTCCTGTGTAGAACTGGATGGCCTTGGACTCACAGAGATCTGTCTGTCTCTTAATCCTGAGTCCTAAGATTAAAGGTGTGCACTACCACCTCCTAGCTTCTGGCTGCTGGGATTAAAGGTGTATGCCTGGCTTCTATGGCTTGTGATTGACTTTGCTTTCTGAGTCCTCAGGCAAGCGTTAATAAATCATAAATAATATATCACTACTCCCAGGTCTTCTGCAAGATCAACATGTGCTCCTAACCACTAAGCTAGCTAGCTCGCTCTCTCTCTCTCTCTCTCTCTGTCTCTCTCTCTCTCTCTGTCTCTCTCTGTCTGTCTGTCTCTCTCTCTCTCTCTCTCTCTCTGTGTGTGTGTGTGTGTGTGTGTGTGTGTGTGTGTGTGTGTGTGTGTTCTGGGAATCAAATTCACGCTTACATGACAGGTATTTCCTCTTCATTTCTGAAATACAAACATGCGATATCAGGGTCACCAGGGCTACTGGACTCCAGACTGCCACTACTGGACTCCAGACTGCCACCACTGGACTCCAGACTACCACCACTGGACTCCAGACTGCCACTACTGGACTCCAGACTACCACTACTGGACTCCAGACTGCCACTACTGGACTCCAGACTGCCACTACTGGACTCCTGGCTTGTGGGCAGCTATCGTCTCTGTGTCTTTGGGTCACCTCTAGGTACCTGGTTGTGCCAATGGCTCTTTCTCTAAAGATGCTATCCCATGGCATCAGCAGCCAACCCACTCCAAGGTAACCTCATTCATCTGGGATCATGACACATAGCGACCTTGTGTCTGAAGAAAATCACATCATAGGCACCAAGAGTTTAGGACTGAGAGAGAGGGCAGTGGTACAACCAGTGCCTAGATCCGACCTAGACTGCCCTGTCTGCTCCTCCTGCCCCTGTCCCTGTCTAGGTTCATTGTCTAGGCCTCTGTGATGATAAAAGGCTTTAGACATACAGCCCCAACCCAGGTCCCCCAGGCTCAAGGGCCAGCAGAGGAGAAAGCCATCACTCACTGCATAACCTGTAATCCTCTATCCTCCCTTCTAGGCCATACAGAGGTCAACACTCTGACCAGGGCAAGGGCTGGGTCCATGATCCCAGCTCCCCCAGAGAATCTCAATGGAACTAGAGCGCAGCCAGTGTCTGCCACAAACAAGGGGACACTTGAGCATGTGACCTTGGCCTGCCACCATCCAACTCCCTTGAATCCCATTCCCATTCCGAGAACAGCCTGCTCACAACCCAGTCCTGAGATTCTAGGGAAAATGATATTTAAAGGCACTTATTAAAGATACTCAGAAGGCCGCTCGAATGTCAAACAGCTGTGAGCCATTCCTAATTTGATGATCTACGTGTTAATGAACCCCAGACATGCAGATTAAACTTGCTTTAAATTGCACGTGGTTTTAAAATGTATTTCTTTCCAGCATGTCTGGTACAGAATGAGGTTAGCAAACACCTGTGAGGCAGGTCCACAATCGGATGGAGTCCATGATGGTTCCAGCTTCAGCTTTGGAGCCTGAGAAGAAGAAGAAAAAGACCTGGACCAAGATGGAGCTCAGTTGGTAGAGAGTTCACCTACCGTGCACAAAATGATCCTGCGCACTTTCTAAGCTGAACATGGTGGCCTGGAATCCCAACAGGACAAACTAGCCCCTGGGAGTCCAGCAAATTTCCCATGTTCCCCACACAGGACCCTTGCCACTGGACACCCAAGGCTATAGTGGTCAAGCTGCCAACAACTTTTGTCACTTCTGCCGCCCACATGTTGCCCGGGAAAGGCAGTGCAGGAACCTTCCAAAGGTGACAGCATGACGGATTGGGAGTCTCGATCCAGAGGAGATGAGGGAAGGAGATGGTCGCCTCCCTGTCATTCCCGGCTATTTTTATTTCTTTCTGAACCTTAAAAGACAAGGGTCCTCTCAAAGTCATTCTCTGCGCTGACAGAGTCATGAAGTGTCCTGGATGCTTATCAGTGTCCTTGAAGTCTGAGAACCTGGAGTGAGCAGCAGGACTGGGGTTGGGAGAGGAGAGTTTGGGCTGTGGGTAGAGGAGGGTCGGGCTTGGGTACAAGGCCTTTGAAAGGAAAAGAATTGGGGCTGGAGACACGGGGATTTCAGCCATGACAGGTCATGTGACCTCAGCAGCCCTCCCAAGGCATGGGGTCTCCCATCTGTACAACAGCTATGGTTGTCCCAGCCCTTCCCCGACACTGAGACTCAGAGGGACACAGGGACACAGGGACCTGCAGGTACCATGCCATGTGTCCCATCCCAGGCACAGATTTTCCCCTGGTGTCCTTCATGGTCCACAGCACTCCTCACGCTCCCGGCTTCCTATAACCTCCCTGCTGTGCTGAGGGCCATCTCTCCAAAGTCAGGCCAGGCCGGGGCGAGATAACTAAATCACTATCTCCCAGCTGTGCATACCAGACAGGACTGACTCCCCTCACGGTCTCTGTCTCTATTTTTGCCCAGTAGGGGTGGCCATGCTGAGTGTGGTGTGAGTGACAGGACTCTGGTACACCTCACATTCATGACTGAACATCTCCAATGGTCAGTCTCAGCAAGTAAGATCATCTGGAAAAAAATCACAGACCTAGTGTCAAGCCTGACTACTCAGATCTGTGAGGCCAGCAGCACTCAGAATGTGGGGGCAGGAGGGGCAGGAGTTCAAGGTCATTCTCAGCTACATAGGGTGCTTGAGGTCAGAGGCTGTACAAGGCACTCTCTGGAAAGAAAAAGAGGTCACTGTTACCTTGTAAAATTTACCCTGGGGTGGGAGGGCCAGTGAGGCTCCTGAGTGGGCCTCGAACCTTGCCTGGTTCTCCCAGGGATAAGGCCAGGAGGTACCAGGTGGCAGTGGCCAGGATTACCCCATCTTTGGGTGCCCTGAGGGTGTGGTTGTTTGCCGCTGCTCTGGGAGGACCAGGGTGCCGGCTCACAGTGGCAAAACCCAGATCTGAAGCAGGTTTCCAGAGCGGGAAACCTCCCTAACTCTATAACCCTTTAATATATACAGTTCCTCATGTTGTGGTGACCCCAACCGTAGGATTACTTCCTTGCTATTTGTGACTGTAATTGTGCTATTGCTATGAATTGTAATGTAAATGCCTGATATGCAGCATATCTGACATGAGACCCCCGTGAAAGTGTCATTCAACCCCCCCAAGGGGTCACAGCCTACAGTCTGAGGACCACTGCTCTAGGTGCTATCCAGGGATGCTCTGGGGTGGCCACTGCCTCCCTGATCGCTGGAGTGTGTGGCTGAGCCCCCTTCCCGCCCATGGGATGCTCAGACCTGCCACCACACTCCTTGCCCAGAGCTGGAGAGCAGATGGCCAAAGACCTTATTAACAGGAACTGAGGCCACCCCTGAGGACACCTGCACAACGGAGGCTGCTGGTGAGTTGGCAAACAGGATCCAGTCACCTGCTGCCACCTGCTGGGGACAGAGGCTGGTGCACCCGTTCAGACTCGCCCGTGTACCCCCACCCCCTCAAAGGGTCAAGAGCCTAGTGGTCATTCAGAGACCACCTGGCTTGCTTGGTCCCTCCAGCAGATAAAGTCACCAGCCTGGGCTGGCCTTGCCACCCTGGTCACTAGCTCCCAGGCACAGATCTGCACCTGCCTTATCCTGCTAACTCATTCCGTACCTGCTGGCTCAGTCACCGAGGAACCCAATCCCAGGAGAGGGGCTGAGGCTCTGGGAACAGTTTCCGAATGGAGCAGAAGGGAGTGGGCTGGATTCTTCTCCACGTGGGTTACCTCTGAGGAATCTTGCCTGGAGCCCCTGGTGCTGGGGAGACTGCTCTATACAAATACAAATGAAATAGTGTCCTGCTTGTCTCTGGGGTAAAGCTGGGTCTTCCAGGTGACTTTATTGGCTACTTGACAGGGGGTGGGGGGTGTGCCCTCAGGCCCTAATTGAGAAGTACCTAAATCAAGCACTTAAGGACAGACATTGAACAGAGCTAAGCTAAGGCTCCATTGTGCCGAGGGATCCTGAGCCAGCTAAAATCAGTGTCAAGCCGCCCCAAGTAGAGACATCTGTTACAGACTCTACAAGGTCAAGCAACTTGCAGGAGGCTGCAGCGTCAACAGGTGCAGCCTGAGGTTCTGCTCCCAACACTGGGAGGCGATCCCTTTGCATGCTGTGGGCACCTGTCCTTCCCTTCCTGTCCTCTCCATCCAGCCGGCCCACCTGTTCCCAGGAGTGCCCTCCCCATCTCCCTGTGTTCCTTCTCTGCATCCTGGTGGAGGCCCTCTTCCTTCAGGGAACCTACCTTCACATCCCCCTCCTTGAAGCAGCTTGTCACAGGGAGAGGCCAGGCCTCTGCCACCCTGCCTCCTGGGCTTTGCTTGTGTGTGGAGAAACGCCTGCCTCTTCATGGCAAACACCAGTCCAAGCCACTCGCATGGCAGACTCTTGGCGTCCCATACCGTCAGCAAGGCCCCCGTCCCAACCATCAATCCGTTTCTGTCCCCGGCTCTCTGTGTCTTCTTGGCCCTGGCTCAGGAATGTCATAGCTGAAGGCTTCAGTCACAGTGTACCCCAGAAGCATGCCCCTCCCCTCACTGTTTACATTGCTTCTGTCCTGTCACAGCCTTCTGTTTACTTTCTAGCTTCGGCTCTGACTCCATCCCTGGCATGTGACCCACGGGGCAGGGACCTGTCTCTCTTGTCCACTGCACTGCTCCCAACTCCCAGTGAGCACTCAATAAACGCATGGTGAATTAATGAATAAGTCAACTAATCAATTGAGCAATCAATCAGGAAGTTGGGCTTTTTTCTTTTTTAAAGAGGTTCTGAATCCAGAGTTGCCACCAAAAGCCAGTATCAGTATTGCACAAGGAGAACTCCCTGTCATCGCTTAGCCACATGGTTGGTCAAGCAAACACTCCCAGGACTTGATCGTATGCCTCGCTCTACGATGCAGGTGCATGTCCAACTTGTCCCCTGCGCTTGGTGTCCTAAAGAGATGCTGGCAGCAATGGACAAAGCTGTGGTTGTCCCCAGGTCCATGCAGGTAACTGTTTCTACCGTCACTGTAGACTTCCCTGGGTGACAGTTGGTACTAATTGTCAACTTGACAGAAGTTTGGCTCTCCTGAGGGATGGGCCACTGGGTGTGTCTGTGGAGGTCTATCTTGTTGATGTCGACCGAGATGGGAAGGCCCATCCACTGTGGGCGTCACCATTCCCTGGGCGGGCTATTCTGGACCGTACAAGGGAAGGAAAGTGAGCTGAGCACTAGCATCTGTGCATTTGTTTCCATCTTCCTCTGACTGGGGAGCACCAGCACAGGCAGCTTGTCAGAGTGTTTTAGCACAGCAACAGTAAGAGAAACTAAGACACTAGGTTAAGGGACCCACTCACTCATTCATTCACTTGGTCATTCATTTAATCATTCACCCATTCACTAACTCTTTAACGCTTGCTTACTGTAGATTGGGAAAGCAGTTAACCCTCTGGACTGGGTTCAGATCCTGCCTCTGACACCGAGGACATCGTGACTGTCAGCTATCTGTCTAGGTTTCAGGATCTCAGTCTTCCCATCTGCAATTAGGGACAACAGTTGTGGGGTCACTCTGAGGAAAACATGGTGCTCAGTACCTCCCATGAGAGTTGGTCACTATTGTCAAGATGTCTAAAAACAGCCCAAACGGGTCCCAGGATGCATATGGGTTCCATACACTGCCCACTCCCAGACATACAGGGAACCACAGGACCAAAGGACAAGTGTCACCAGACAGAAGTGCAGACAGCCTCAGGGAACAGCTGGCTTTCAACCCACCCTAGGACCAGGCTGGATCCCGAAGTACCCATAGCTGCTAAGCCAGGACAAACTCAAAACCTCATCTCATTTCCGTTTACATACATGTGTGTATATATTACATATACATATATATATTACATGTACATACATATATGTATATATTTATTACATAGACACACACACACACACATATATATATGTATATCCCCACTCATGTTTGCTATATATACATATATTTCTGAAAGGAATCAGTCACTGGCTCTCAGGGAATGAAGGGACAGAGAGTAGAGACAGCAGTCAGGAGCACAGACATCCCTTGTCCAGCTGGCAGACCCCAGAGAGATGCCAAACCCTCTTCAACCCAGAGTCTGATAGGGGCCAGGCCTGGAAATGAGGCACTAGCCAGCCTCCGCTCCCTTCTGTGGTTCCCTGCCCATTTCAGATGCCAATCAGCTACCTGATACAAAGGGGAAGCTGAACCTCAGGAGGCCCAGGGATGGGAGCTTGCCAAGATCACAGGTGGGGCCTGCACTGCGGTCCCCTGGGTCACCCTGGCAGTCTACCCAAGAAGAGGAGTCTCAGTCCAACTCAGTCCAGCTGCACCAAAGCCTTGACTCTGCTGCCCTCTGGTGGCTATGGCGTCAGGTCCATTTGCAGTTCTCTAGCTGAACCTGGAACAAGTCCAACAGAAAGGAGGCTGAGCCCAGGGATATTAACATGGAAAAAAGGCCACTTTCCCCAGCACAGACTGAAGAGAGGCCCCCTGGATAACCTTGGGAGCTAAGCACTGAAGGGTGGGAAGGCATGGAAGAGCCTTAGGCTTAGACACTGGGGCTCTGGCTGAGCTCAGCAAGGCTGTCTATAAAGGGCCCATTCCCTCTGTACTTCTCCCAAAGCACAAGCCAGACTCCTTTCTTACATCCACCTGCCATGCTCTTGTCCTGACCCACAGAACACAGCAGCTGCAGTGTCACATAGGTTCCAAGGCTCGATCTCAAGACAGTATCCACCATTTCCTTGGCTTCCTAGAACAACTGTCCATTACCTGCTCTAGATACCCAGGTAGGATGCTCCATCCACGTGACCTCAACTGGAGCCCAGAGTTAATAGGATGGAAAGCCTCCTGTGGTGAGGGATATTTGATCACACTGTGAGCCCTGAGTTTGCATTTGCATTAATTAAATAAAATTAACTTAGGGTCAGGAGGCTGAGTTAGCAACTAGTTGACAGGAAGTTATCATAGAGCATTAGAGAGCATCTAGAAGAGATAGAGAGATGTATCAGGAGGGGCAGGGAGGAATCTGGAGTGATGCAGTATTTTTGTTTGGCAGAGCAGAATACTATTTCTGGGAAATGTCATCAAGGAAAGAAAGTTAGCTAGTTGTTATTCAACCTCTCTGAGTTACCAGGTTTTCACCCAGTCTTTGAATCTTGAGTCTTATTCATAAATAGAACAACAGAGAGTTAACCAAAACCGCCTTTATCAGCAGAGCCAGTGCCTGCAGGAAGAGAATTCCCAACAGGCTGTGGCCTGAGCAGCCAGCCAGGCTTGAGAGGCCACAGTGATGGACGTCATTTTGAGACACTAATTTTGAGCTAGCTAATTATGAGAAGCAAGTAACCCTCATCAGCTGTGTAGGGTAGGCATACTCAGCTAGAGTAACTGCAGGATTGGGTTGGTATGTGGCTTACTGACTACACAGACCCACTAGTAGCTGGTATGAACTAAACAATTCTGGGCAGTGTGTAAGCACTGCTCACCTCCTTTAACCCTGTGAAAGTCTCATCTGGGGTCAGCACTGCTTTACAGGTGGAGTGGCAGCTAAAAAAACAAAACTGAGATATGGAGAAAACGGGTGATTTATTAGGTGGCAAAAGAGCTAGGATCCAAATCCTGTGATAGGGAAAGCATGTGATAAAAACTAGCTTGTCATCTTTACCACCACCATCCTCTGCCATCTTTACCACCACCATCCACCGCCATCTTTACCACCACCATCCACCGCCGTCACCTGCTTCTCCGTCTTCTCCTGCATGCGCATCATCTTTGCCATCCTCATCATCAACACCAAGAGCAGCATCTTCACCACTGTCATCAGCATCTCCACTATCTCCATCACCATCATCAGTACCATTTGCACTATCACTATCATCACTATTATCGCTATCTTCATCTCCACCACCATCATCATCGCCTCCATACCAGCAACATCAACACCATCTCCACCATCACCCCCGTCATCCCCACCGTCTCCACCATCTCCACCATCATCAACACCAGTATTGCATTATCTCCACCATCAACTTTATCTCCATCACCACCCCCGTCTTTGTCGATATTACCATCACCATAATCTTCACCATCATTTTCATCAGTGTTACCATCATCAGTAGCAATAGCACCATCATCTCTGTTATCAGTATCACCATTTTCATCAGTGTTACCATCATCAGTAGCAATAGCACCATCATCTCTGTTATCAGTATTACCATATCCATCATTGCCAACATCACCATCATCTCCACCATAGTCACTACCATCGTCACCATCATTATTGGGTGGGGGGTGTACACATATATCAGGTTGCAAGTGTGGATGTCAGAGATGGACTAGTAGGAACTGGTTCTTTCCTTCTACCGTGTGGTCTCAGAGGCTGAAAGGATCGCCAGGTTTGGTGGCAAGCATCTTTACCAGCTAAGTCATCTCATTAGCCCTAAAATTTCCACTTTAACTGAGAGGCGACACTTGAGAAAATTTGAAGGAAGTAGTGGGTGGTCATAGCACATGTGAGGGTAGCTATGCCTGTGCAAAGGTCCTGGGGCAGGAAAGGGCTGCCGCCATCCACAGTGGCAAGAGGCAGGGTGATCACAACAGGGGTGGACTAGGGACAGGGTATTTTAAGGACATTGGATGTCCTCAAGGGGGCACTGAAGTGCCAGGCAAAATCTGATTCGGGTTCCTTCAGGCTTCAATGTAGGAATAGAATTGTATGTTGGGTGCGGGGGAGGCAGAGAGACCACAGAAAAGGCCACTCAGCAATCCATGGTTGAGGTAATGGGGCTCAGAACAGGGATTCCAGGGAAAGCGAGGAGAGTACTCTCACCTCCCTGCTCTTGTCTCATTTTATCTCTGAGTTAGCTGAGGCTGTAAACCTAGCTCCTTAGGGAAGCCACCAGTGGTTTCCAGAGAGGAGCTAGGGGTCCAGGTTGAGGGCAGCTAAGGAGAAACCTTCTTGCCTAGCACCTCCATAAAATGAGCATGAACTGATGGCCCTGTTGACAGCCTGGAGGCCCCAGCAGCCTGTCTCCACAGTTTATAAACTCATAAAAACGCTGTGGACCGGCCTCCTTTGGCTGAAGATGAATGAGATTGCCTGGGGACACAGACTCCAGCTGCAGGGTTCCCTGAGCTGGGGCATCACTTGGTCAACTGTGATTGGCTCCTTCCTCTCTCAGCCCTGGATTGGACCCCAGGTTGCATAGCAGCCTAAGAACTCTGTCTCCACCTCCTTTACTCTCCTAAACATGACAAAGGAAGGAAATGTGCAGCCTTTTCCAACCCAACATCCCAATGAGGTAGAATCATGGCTTCAGCTCACCCACTGATGGGCCAATGAAAGACACAGCCCTAAAAGACCAGGTCCCAGGTCACCTGAGAGATGAGATTCAAACCCAGGAGAGAAGGCCAAGCTGGTGCCATCCAAAGCCACAGAGCATACACACACACACATGCCTGGTATGCAAGCCTGCTTATGTGGACAGACAGATGTGTCAGGCAGGCACTGACGTGGAGATGCCATTGTCCCCCTGACTAGTCCCTGGCATTAATCTATGTATGGGCCACAGGAACACCCTGGAGCTGGAGCTCAGGACCCTGCCTGCGACCCTCCCTCCAGCCTGCCTTTGCCACCATTGAGTGGCTTGTCACACACCTCATCCTTACCAACAGTGCCACACCAAGCCCACACCCAACCATTTCATAAATTGTATGTTCTTCTTCCTGCCTTGGTCCCAGGAGTAGCTGGTAGGTGCATGACACCCCAGTAACACACCGAACCCCACATAACCCCATGAGGCATGGGGTTCTAGAGGAAAGCATGGAAGTTCATCAGTTCAGCCCGTTGTAGTGTAAAAGGAGAAACTGAGGCCTGCTTCTCAGCACCACAGGCTTGGTCCTGGAAAGAACACCCTTAAAGCATGCTCACCCGGCCACAACCATGTCTTGGTTGGTGAAATAAGTGTACCCAGGTCCCCTTAGCAGGTGACACTTGGATCAAGGCCTGGACTCAAACCCCACCACCTCTACCTAGCTCTGGGCCCTTGTACAAGTTACATGCAAACCCGATGCCTCAGCTGCTCCTCTGTGGATGGGGTAACGAAACCAGACACCTTCTCAGCAGGATTTTGACTTCCAGGAACCAGAAACCAAGGTCAATCAAAAACCCAGCAAAAGGAACCACAGAGAAGGAGTGGTGAGGTCTGGTCGGGCAAGGACTTACTGCACAGCCCCGATGCCAAGAATCTGCTCCTTGCTCCTTGCTCTCTGCCCTGCCCTGGAGCTGCCGTATTTGCTGCTCTTCTCACTGTTGTGACAAAATACCTAGTGAGAAGGAGTTTAAGGGAAAAAAAGGTTTATCCTGATTGCTATTCAGAGATGCACATCCCACTATACCAGTGAAGGCACCAGTGGCAGGAGCAGGAGGCCAGCCAGCCACATTGCATCTGCAATCAGAAAGCAGATGGTGACTAGGAAAAAGAGCCACCTTCCCAAACAATGTCATAAGCTGGGGACCAAATGTTCAGACACTTGGGGTGGGGGCATTTCACATTCTAACCCCAACAGTCAACCTCTGAAGTCATTATGGGATAGCCATTAGCCATTCTGGGGCCAGAGGCATACTCGTTCACACCCTGATGGAATGAAGGGGGCTAGTGTGTACACACAGTTAACATCTGACCATCCCAAAATTGACCCATGGCCCACACAGGCATAGGCATGATGTCTGTTCCACGGGGTGACTAAAGGTGGCTTCTGGGAATGGGACGCGTGTTGGTTTAAATAAGAATGACCCCTATAGGCTCACATATTTTAATGCTTGGTCCTTCTCCAGCACTGTGCTGATAATGGACTAAACCTCTGAAGCTCTAAGCCAGCCCCAATTAAATGCTTTCCTTTGTAAGAGTTGCCGTGGTCATGGTGTCTCTTTGCAGCAATGACTGAGGCAGAAGTTAGCTGTCATCAGAGGGGCGTCACCCAGCAACTGATGGAAACAGATGCAGAGACACACATCCAAACATTAGGTGGATCTAGGGGGATCCTGCAGAAGAGGGGGAGGAAGGACTGTAGGACCCAGTGGTGTCAAGGGCACCACAAGAAAGCCCACAGAACCACTAACCTGGGCTCATAGGAACTCAGAGACTGAACTGACAGCCAGGGAGCCTGCAAGGGACTGACCTCGGCCCTCTGCATGTATGCTGCAATCATTTTTAACTCATCTTTGTGTGACACTCCTCGGTGAGGGCAGGGGCTGCCTCTGACTCTGTTGCCTGCTTTGGGGACCCTTTCCTCCCACCAGATTGCCTCATCCAGCCTTAACAGAAGAGGAGATGCCTAGTCTCACTGCAACCTGATATACCATGGCTGGCTGAGATCCATGGGAGGCTCTCCAGTATCTGGAGAGAAACAGTGGATGAGGAGAGGATGGGGTGGAGAAGGGGAGAGGGAGGTGGAGGGAAGGGACTGGGAAGAGAGGAAAGAGAGGAAACTCTAGTTGGGATATTAATAAAAAATAAAGAAGACAGAAGTTGGTACCAGGGAGCAGGATAGTGCTGTGAGAAGCTTGACCATGCTGCTGACCTCGCTGGCCATGCCTGACCGTGTCAGCTGAATGTGGACTTTGAGACTTTGGATTAGGGGTGCAGCAGGGTCTAATGGGCCAGCAAGGATTACAGTAGCACAGAGGGCAATGTACATTATGATGATCCAGTTCAAGAAGTTTCAGACAGGAAGATTATTAAATGACCTAGAGACGAAGAAGATTCTTATGATATTTTGGCAAAAAAAAAGGTTGTTGCTTTTGTCCTTGTCCAAAAAAAATCTGCCTGAAGTTAGATTGAAGACTTTTGGATTCATGGTGCTGAGGAGATTTCAAAACCACATAGTATTGACTGTTGTCTGGTGTAAATGGGAGTTGTATTGGTCTAATAATTAAAGCCCAGAGTCAGATATAGAGGAAAATGCTGAGAGATCAGAGAGAAGAAGGAGCAAGCCACAGCCACCTTTACTTCACTAGCGTCTCAGCAGACCAGAGAGCCTTTTCCTGTTTCTGCCTGCTTATATCCTATCTCTGCCCAGCCATCTCCTTCCTGTCTGTCTGTACAGACCTCCAGACCTCTATGGTTAGCTAGTGGCAAGCTCCATTCCCTGGCCTTCAAACAAGTGTTATTTGTACAAGCCAGATATCACCACGGTTCGGTTATTAGTGGCCAGTCTTACACAGATCTGTAATGAAAAAGAGCAAGCTGAGAAAGGAAAAATACAAAACGTACAGTTTGTGGAGAAAGGGGACACCAGGAAGTGTAATGGGATAGAATTCTGTGTTTAAGGAGATAACACCAAAAGAAAAGCCTGATACTAAATGGAATAAAGGCAGTGGTGATCTCCGGACAAGACCCCGGCCAGTTAAGCTTCCAACTTGTGAAAAGGGAATTAAAGAAAAGCTTAAGCAGTGAGGTAAAGGATCAACAACAAAAACCCAGTGCAGATGTAACTGAATGAGTAGACAAGTTCCAGCCCCAACAATCAACAGAACTTGGCAGCTTTGGCCACGTGGTTCTGGTTTAGAGTCAAGGATAGAAGAAAGAGGCTATGGAATATTCCTTCTTGGCTAAGGAAAGTGTCGGGGGTGTCCCTGCATGGAGGCCAAGAGAGGACATTTCATGAAGCTGTGAAGGTGAAGCCTGCATTGCCTTGGAGACACCAAAATGTTGGAGAAGCCAGAGCTGTGAGATGCTTGCTGAGGAAAGCTACCAATAGGGAGTAGAACCAGCCCAAGAGAGAGAAGTATGCTGCAGTCAACAAAGCTGAAAGGAGTTGGAAATCTGAAGAGTGATTTGACATCAGACATGGAGATGCAGTTTGGAGCTTGCCCAGCTGGTTTTCAATCTTGCTCCCTTCCCTAGCTTTTGGAATGATAATATATATCCTGTGTCATTGTATGTTGGAAGTATGTGATCTGCTTTTTTACTTTTATTTTACAGGGGATTACAGCTAAGAGAGTGCCGTGAGTCTCAGAAGAGACTTTGAACTTTGGACTTTTAAACATTGTTGAGACTTTGATGACTACAGGGACCTTTGAGCTGGACTGAATGCACTTATTGCATTATGATATGGCTACAAGCCTAGGAAGCCATGGAGTAGAATGCGGTGGTTTAAATTAGAAAAGGCTCATATATTTTCGTGCTTTGCCACCAGGGTGTGGTGGTGCTACTTGACAGATATTAGGAGGTGTGGCCTTGTTGAAGTGGGTGTGGCCTTGTTGGAGGAAGCGTGTCACTGAGCAGGGGCTTTGGAGTTTCAAAAACTCAGGCCTGGCGCTTGTATCTCTCTTCCTGCTGCCTGTGGATCTGCAGAACTCTCAGCTCCTTCTCCAGCTCCATGTCTGCCTGCATGCCACCATGCTTCCCGCCATGACGATAATGGACTAAACCTCTGAAACTGTAAGCCAGCCCCAATTAAATGCTTTCCTTTATAAGAGTTGTCACAGTCATGGTGTCTCTTCACAGCAATAGAACACTAAGATAGGATGGGAGGGGGAAGGAGAGGGAGGGGCTGGACCCCTGTCAGAGCTCTGTGTAATTCAGGGAGACTCTCTGGTGCAGCACCCACAGGGACCTGCAGTCTGTGGAGCTCAGAGCAGCCAGGGCAGAGGTCACTCCCAAGGTTCAGCAGGGAGACGTTCTAGAATGGAGACCAGAGTATGGGCATAGCATGCCTCCTTGGGGCTTTATGCCAAAGTTTAGTTCATCTCAAGTCGTGACATGCTAATGCGTTCTCACAGCACGTGGAACAGAGGCAAAAGGATCAGGAGTCCACAGCCGGTCTCAACTATGTAACAAGCTGGAGGCCAACCTGAGCTGTGTAAGACCCTGCCTCAAAAAAGAAAGCAAAAGCAGGGGCTTAAAAGCAGTCAAGAGGATGGACTGCACTTGCAGAAGAGCTGGGTTTGGGTCTGAGCACCCATATGGCAGCTCACACAGATTTGTAATCCCATTTTCAGGGGATCTGATGTCTCTCCTGACATCCACGGACATACGTACATTCATTCAGGCAAAATGCCCATACACATAGAATGAAATAAATAAATCTAAAAAACATGTTTTATAACGAAAACATAAAAGCAAGGTGAGCAGGTTTCATGGTTGCCTTGTATTGCTTTGTTGTGACCAACAGGACTGACCAAAGGCAACTTGGGGAGGAAAGAGTTTATACCTCCAGGTCACGGTCCATCACTGAACTGGCTAGTTTTAGGCTAACTTGACATAAGCAATAGCAACCAACACCTGTGTGCAAACAGGCGTCACAAACTGGACTCAGCTTTGTTGAAAATAACCACAAAAAAATGGAGGACACGAAGTTGGGAGGGAGATGGGGTAAGTGTGCTAGGGAATTGGAGGGAGGCAGATGTAGAGGAATATGATCAAAATACATTGTACAAATGTACACAATATTCAAAGAATAAATTAAAATCCAGTAAGAGCAAACTACCAATAACAAAAACCCAACCCTGTTGCTGTGTGTGTGTGTGTGTGTGTGTGCACAAGTGGGCTTGCACCATTGTGCATGCAGAGGACAACCTCAGTTGCTGTTGTCCAGGTGCCGCCATCCATTTTTTAGAGACAGAATCTTCCACTGGCCTGGAGCCCACCCAGTTGGTGAGTCTGGCCAGCCAGTGAGCCCCAGGGATCTGCCTGTCTCCAGCTGCCCAACACTGGGATTACAAGCATGGGTTATCAAGACCAGCTTTTCCCGTGGATTCTGGGCGTTAAACAGGTCTCTGTGCTAGGAAGGGAAGCCCTTGACTGAGTGCACCATCTCCCCAGCCCAGCCGCTGTCATGATGAGAATCAAAGTGTATTTATCAACTAGCTTGGAGATAATTAAAATTACATGGTGCTGAGCATCCTTCCTGGAACTCAATGTATCTTCCTGCTCTTTCTTCTCCTTTGTTTTCTACTAGTTTTGTTAATTAAAATATTTCTTGAAACGGAACACATTTATAGAAAAGTCACAACTAACTCAGGGTCGATACGATGGAGTTCCATCATGTGAAACAGCTACCCTCAGTGAAAGCCAGACATGACCTGCAGCCTGGAAGCCCTTGTCACACCCAGAATGGTCACTGTTCTGTTTCTATTGTCCTCAGCATTGTCTGCCTTTAATCATTGTTAGCGTTGTTTGGCACAGGGTCTCCTATAGCCCAGGCTAGCCTCAAACTCACTAACTAGTGGAGGGCTAACCATGAACGTATGGTCCTCCTGTCTCCACCTCCCTGACACTGGTATTTCAGGCATGTGCCATCATGCCTGGTTTCTGCAGTGCTGGGGATTAAACCCAGGTCGTCGTGTGCACGTGCTAGGCTAGCATTCAGATTTGCATTGTAGACATGAGGCCTGTCCTCTGCCACAGGGTCCCATCCCTGACTCTGTCATTTAATCAAGCTGTAGGTGTCCCGGGGTCTGGTTGCCAATGCTCCATGAGCCATGCCTGTGCTCTGCAGGCAGTGGCTCTTCATCCATCTTCACGGCTTCCACATGCTCCACTGGCTGGCAGCATCATTTTGCATCTGGGCATTTTCCCTCTAATGGATGTTTGGGTTATTGGGAATAGTGAACAGCACTGGATATGCTGCTGATAATTTAAAATAGGTCTTAATAACAGCAACAGACGACAGTATCAGGGACAGAATGTCCTAGTCCATATCTGCTAACATTGGTTGACTCCCTAAAGTCTGCTCACCTCATATTGGGCACTGGGGACAAATCAAAGACACAATGCCACCCAAGGCTAGCCAGGTAAACCAATGAGTTCATTGGGGTTACTTACAGGAGCAGGAGTGACCCCTAAACAGTCACGTCGCATCTAACTCCAACATGAGCGACAGCCTCACGGATGCATAGATGGGGACCCCACTTCATCGACTCTCCACCCTCTACAAACCTCCAGAGCTCAGGCATAATTACACTCAACTGAGAGAGATGTGTGCCCCTAGTTCTTCTATGGGGAACAGTCAGCAGGCCTGGTCTTGTTGAAGGTCTCTTTTGGGTAGTCACATTGTGATGATTAAGATGATGACAGCTGTCATGCCCAACAGGACAGTGTCCTGTGACCCTAGGTCATAGATGTGTCTGTGAGCTGAGATAAATGGGACCAAACAGCTTTCTGAAGGTTGGCCGTTCCTTCCTTCTGCCCGTGAGTGTCTACTTTACTTCCTACTGTGACAAACACCTAACGGAAACATAGCCTCCTCTCTCTGCTGTACACATATATGATGTCTGTGCATGTTTGCGCAGTCATGCTCACCTATGCCTGCCCATATGGAGGCCAGGGATCAACATCATATTCCTTTTTCCATTGCTCTCTTTATTTGGGGGAGGGGACAGGGTGTTTGAGTGAGAAATGTGACCAAGGGGCTCACGTATTTGGGGAGGAAAGTGACTGCTGAATTTGCTGAGGGACAGGAAGGTCCTTCAAAGCTCCTGCTTCATCAAAAAGTCTGCCAGACATTCTGGACCTATAGGCTGAAGAAGGATGCCCCAACATTACAGAGGAACTTTGGGTGACTGTCCAGGTAGTGAGATGTCTCTGTCAATTCTAGAGTTTATATATTTTCCTCCTGGGGTCTTTGATGGAGTTGAAGACAGTTATGGATATGGTTTCCCTTAGTTATGATAAAAGATAAGTTACATATAAAACTTTAGACTCACAGAAATAGGACAGATGATAGAATATTTTCTTTAAATTTTGCCAAATGTTAGTGTACTAAATATTGTAACTATAATTCTTTCTTGATAACTGTTTTGTTATGTATAATTTTACTATGTTAAAGTTAAAACCTTTTTATTTAGACAAAAAAGAGGAGATGATAGGGAATGATCTTTTGTATGCTATGAATATATGTTTCTCTTATTGGTTGATGAATAAAGCTGTTTCAGCCAATGGACAGGCAGGATTTGGGCAGGTGGAAAATTCAAACAGGGATATTATTAGGATAGTATTAGGGGGAGTCAGGAGGACACATTGTAGCTACCAAGAAAGTAAGAGCCCCAGGCATTACCAGTAAGCCAAGACCACATGGAGATACATAGATTAATAAAAATGGATTAATAATTAAGAGAAAGCTAGCCAATAAGAAGCCTGAGCCAGCCAGTGGTGATGCATGCCTTCAATCCCAGCAATCAGGAGGCAGAGGCAGGCGGATATCTGTGAGTTCGAGGCCAGCCTGGTCTACAGAACAAGTTCCAGGACAGCGTCCAAAACAATACAGAGAAACCCTGTCTTGAAAAACCAAAAAGAAGAAGAAGAAGAAGAAGCCTGAGCCATCAGTCAAACTGTTTATAATTAATATAAACCTCTGTGTGTTTATTTGGGACTAAACAGCTGTGAGACTGAGAAGGACAGAAACTCCTCTGTGTGTGTGTGTGTGTGTGTGTATGTGTGTGTGTGTGTGTGTGTGTGTGTGTGTGTGTGTACAGAGGCCAGTGGTCAGCCTTATGTATGTCCCCTGTAGAACTTCAGTGACCCAGTATCAAGTGGTAGTGCCCAATGGGAGGGACAGCGAAACATGCAGAGGCCTCTGATTCCTGAAGCCCTCTGTGGAGCAGAGATGCTCACATGCCCACCAGCCAAGCAAGAGCAAGTATTCAAAACTCAGTTCCCACTGCAATGACAAAGACCTGGAGACAATGGACGTATAGTTCCCAGCCATGATTGATTGGCCCCATGGCTTTTGGTCTGTGGTGAGACGGCACGCCATATGGAAACTTGTGGTGGAAAAAAGCCATTTATCTCACATCCAGGAACCAAAGGAGCGGAAAATAAGGAGGGAAGATATGGTAATGTTTTTATCCACATTTGCCTGGCACGCCTTGACCCAGGGCTTAAATCTTGAATTATACTGGTTTGGATGGCAAGATATGATTTGTTTTTCCAATCCAATCTATTTTTTCCTTTAACTAAACACATTATATTTACTGGTATTTCTACTATCTGGTTCTTATTATTTTTGTGATTGAGACGGGTTCCAAGGAGGATTCTAGAACCCCCTTTCTTCTTCCCACTACTTCCTGACTGTGAGGTAGATGGCTTTGCTCTCCCATAAGTTCACACATAGTTGACAGCCTCAGCACAGGCCCAGAGCCATGTGGCCAATCAGTCATGGGTGGGAACCTCCCAAACTACAAACCAGTATAAACCTTTCCCATTCATAAGCTGGTTGTCTTGAGCATTTTGCTACAGTAATGGGAATCTGACTAGTATATGCCCACAGGCCAGCCTGATCCAGGTCATTTCTAATTGAGACTCTCTTCTTGGTTAACTCTAAATTGTGTCAAGTTGACAGCTCCAACTCCTTTGTTGCACTGGCATGATGGCTCGATGGGTAAAGGAGCTTGCCACCCAAGCCTGTGGCAGCACTAAAAGGCCACACCAGAGATAGAAAGTGAACCAAGCTGGGCAAAAGGGGGCAAGCCTGTGATTCCAGCCCTCAAGAGGCTGAGGCAGGAGGATCACAAGTGAGAGGACACTCTGGGCTACATAGTAATAGCTTGACTCAAAGGGATTTAATTAAAAACTGGGCTGGTAAGATACTTTAGTAAGTAAAAGTGCTTACTACCAAGGCAGAAGACCTGAGTTCAATTCCCAGGACCTACAGGGCAAAAGTTGAGAACCAACTTCTGAACGTTGTTGTTGATCTCCAGGCATGTATGGAGGCATTCACACACATGCATGCATGAGTACACACACACACACACACACACACACACACACACACACACACACACACAAAATAATTGTAATTTAAAATAATTTAAAAGGGCCAGTTACTGGTCAATGACAGAGCTTTTATTTATCCTGTCCAAGGCCCTGGGTTCCATCCCCAATACTGGGTGTGGGGGAGGGTGTCATGGGGAAGAGAGGGAGAAAGAAGGGAGGGGCATGTGCCTATAGGGAGACTTTTATGTAGAAACAGGGGTCCTGCCAGGCATGGTGGCCCACACTTCTAATCCCAGCACTCAGAAAACAGAAGTAGGAGGACCTCTGTGAATTCAAGGCCAGCCTGGTCTACAGAGTGACCTCCAGAACAGTCAGAGCTACATAGATTCTGTCTGAGAGAGAGAGACAGACAGACAGACAGACCACATACACACACATACATACATACATACATACATACATACATACATACATACAAAGATATAAAGGGGATGGATTAGAAAGGCTTACAAGCTGCAGTCCAGCTAATCTAACAGTGGCCATGAACAAAAAGTTCAAAACTCCAGTAGTTGCTTAGTCCACAAGGCTGCAGGTCTCAGCTGCTCTTCAATGCATACTGGAATCCTGAAGAAGCAGGCTCTAATGCCAGTTAAGGAATGGATGTGTTAGCAGGGAGAGAGCAAGCAGGCAAAGAACAAAAGCTTCTTCCATGCCCTTATGTAGGCTCCCAGCAGAAGGTGTGGCCCAGATTAAAGGTGTGTCTTCCTGCCTTAAGATTTAATCACAGAGCGATGGCTCGGCAGTTCAGAGCATTGACTGCTCTTCCAGAGGTCCTGAATTGTTCATTCCAGATGCAGTCAAGTTGACAACCCGTAATAGCTATCACAATGCCCCATGTTCAAACAATACAGGTCTCGGAATAGCTCCCCCCCCCCCTCACTAAACATGACTGTGCTGCAAGGGGACATTTGTGGGAGGCTCCTGTTCGGACAGCTCCCTCAGCCAGGCATCCGGGTCATTCCTAGATTGCAGAAGGGGGTGGTGAGTATGGCCACTAGGTGGCAGCATTACTCCGCAGAGAAGGCTGTGGAACCTGCGGCGTGCTGTCCAGGCCCCTCGCTGTCATTGATGAGGACAGACATGATGATGCTCCATGGTTGCCATGACAAACATATTGTGGTCCCAGAAAACCCCACAAGCTGGCATCCATGGGTCATGGGATGCGTGGTCCACTCACACCTGAAAAGAGGGACAGGGCTTGACTGCCCCAAACGCCCCAGTGGTGGAGATGGGGGTTCTTTACCACTGATGCATCCCTTTCAGACTCTAACACACTGGCGGTGGGGGGAGGGGAGGCAGAGAGGGGGAGGGAGGCCGCCTGTCTGGTTCTGGCTCAGGTGTGGAACGCAGATGAGAAGGGAGAGCTGATCAGAGGAGCATTGGCAGCGGCAGACCCTTCAGAGGGGTCAGAGCTCCGTCCCCATCAGCACAGGGTGAGGTCCAGAGTGAGCCTGGGCCAAATAAAGATGGAGTGACACATCTGTGGCGGCCCTCATCTGTCATCCCAGCACTTGGAGTCTGAGGCAAGAGGATTGTGAGTTCACAACCAGCCTGGGCTGCAGGGCAAGCCTGTCAGAAGAAAAGGAAGGGGGGAAACAGGCAGGCACCGCCAGAGGAGAAGAATGCTGTAATTGCCTGACCATCTTTATGAACCCTCAGAGTGCCAGGGCCTGCGAGAGGGCTCTGCAGATACAGGGGCTTGCCAATAATCTTGACAACCTGAGGGCCATCCCTAGAACCAATATAGGAGGAGAGACTGACTCCTGCAAGTTGGCCTCTGACCTTCACATGCAAACTGTGATATCCCACACATATGTACATGCATGTATGCATGCAGACAGACAGACAGACACATGATGGGGGATGTCCTTCTGTATGCTGTGAATATGTTTCTCTTACTGGTTGATGAATAAAGCTGTTTTAGCCAATGGACAGGCAGGATGTAGCCAGGCAGGACGTATAGGCAGGGCTACCAGACTAGGAGAAAGCTGGAAGGAGAAATGCAGAGAGTCACGAGAGAGACACCATGTAGCTGCTGAGAAAGCAGGAGGTCTGGGTAAGCCAAGACTACATGGAGATACACAGATGAATAGAAATGGGTTAATAATCAAGAGAGAGCTAGCCAATGAGAAGCCTGAGCAATAAGTCAAACCATTTATAATTTACACAAGCCTCTGTGTGTTTATTTGGAACTAAACAGCTGCGGGGCTGGCAAGACAGAAGATTCCATCTACATACAGACTTTTTAAAGAGTGCCATGTCTCTGCT